TGGTTCCCCTAACCGCTCCCTGTCTCTCAGGGTTCTCCATCCTGTTCAGCTCTTCTAGTTTTCCTTGTGCTGTGCTCATTCACATGTTTCTGCCTTTGATGATTCCATTCCGGCTAGTGAGAATTTCCTAGCCTCTTCTCTCTCTCACATGAGAGCCAGAGTACCTTCTTTGTAAAATTTATTCAGGTGATTAAAGACATCATTATATCCCCAGATATGTCAAAAGAAGGCATATTTACATCTTAGAGCATTGGGGAGAAAAATATATTCTCTAAATCATGGGTCGGTAAACTGTGGCTCACGGGCTAAATCAAGCCCTATACCTATTTTGTGAAATATTTATTGGAACACAACCAGGTGCTCTTGTTTATGTATTATATTATCTTGCTGTTATGCATTGTCTTGTCTTGCTACCTTATGGCCTGTGAAGCCTAAAATATTTACTGTCTGGCCCATCACAGAAAAAATTTGCCAACCCTTACTCTAAGTGAACACTTGTTAAACCAGAGTACACCAGGATTTTTGCCCAGGCGTCATCTGATCTTTCTATATTAGGCCATGCTTGTTCAAACAAGAATTAAGCACAGATTTTCTGAAGCCTAAATTGTTTATATGTTTATAACCAGAGGCAAGAGATAAGCAGTGAATGTTTTATTGTCTACTTTAATTTTCTTTTTTTTTTTTTTTACATAAGCATAGTATTTTTTTATTTGTAGCACTTGAAACTTAGAGATGAGGCATCAGGTAGTTAATAAATTCTTTTCACACTCCCTTATTTTCTGAAATCTTTAATGTCAGAGAATTTGATGCCAGCCTTTTCCTCTGACTAGAACTGGAATCTTCCTTGTTTCCCCAAAGTTTATAAATGGTGGCAGTTTCCCAAAACTTCACTTTGTAGGAAGATTTAAAAGATGCTTCATTTATATTATCTGCCTCCTCTTACCCCCAAAATATTCTTTTTGTTTGTTTAAGAAAAACATTATGCCCATTCCTTCTACTTAGGTCACAGTTTTAATTAATATTTAGAAAATTTGAAGTAAGGTGTTAAAACTCATTTCAAACTCTGCCTGATCACTTACTAGAAACAAAGGTTGAAATGCAGTAGGTGGTGAGTAGGAAGAATGACTTTGTCTTTATCTTGTGCCTCCAAACCCTCCCCTTTGCATAAGATCTTATCTAGAGCTGTATACCTTTTCCTCCACCAGAGTTTCAGTGACTGCTCCTCCACAAATTCCAACAGGTGTTCTCAAGGGGACAATTGAAAAAAGAAAGGAGAGTTGGAAACAGTTAAGGGGGTGAAAGCTTATTCTGGAATACATGTAGAAACATTTGCAATTAAGGTTTGGGAGTGGCAAAGGAAGCTAAGGAATAATAATAACAATAGTCTCAATGCTATTAAATGCTCCCTAAATCTGAGAGCCAACACTGTAGCCTTGATATAAAGGTGATTGTAGAGCTAAGGCTCTACTGGTAATGTATTAGAGAAAGGAAAGCATTTTAAGAAATACCCTTCAGACTAGGTTAAATGAACAAATTTAACCCAAGAATCAGGTAGTATCTGTAGTACCAAACTACAAACACCTTTTTCCTTTGGCTCTGGAACTCTGTCCTACAGATAAAACTGTTCATGTCCTGTAGATATGACTATTCACGTATGAAATCACATGTTCCAGTTTATTTGGTACAGCTGTGGTTATGGTAAAACGTTACCACCATCCAAGTATCCAGCAGTAAAAGACTGGATTGTAAAATCAGAAAGGCATTGAAAGTTCAACCAGATGAAAGCATGGCCTTGACATGTGTATTATCTATAAAATGATATTGAAAATGCAGGAAAAGGAGACCCTAAAAGTTGGTATCAAGGGATGGTAAAAGGGAAATAATTGTACACTACCAGATCTACATTATAAAGTAACAGATTTTTAAAAATTATTTTATTAAAACTGTTTAGGGGCTTGTATATATTGCCTTGTTTTGATTCCCATACCCATTTGATACCTGCTCCCCATTGAATGGGACATACTATTAAGGTGCTCAGACATGGTCAAGTGAGAACTACTTTAACTGACCCTGAAGAGTTTATTCCTTCATCTCTGAGATAAGGGCAAGATGATTAGGACAAAAGTTATTTAGTGCATTTCTTAAAAAATTTGTTTCTATGGAGAAGTAGCAATTTAACTTCTATTTAACATTTATATCCCACTTTTTTAAAAATTGGAAGAATAGTTGATTTACAGTGTTGTATTTCTGCTGTACAACAAAGTAATTCAGTTATACAAATACATATGCTCTTTTTCACATTCTCTTCCATTATGGTTTGTTACAGGATTCTGTATATAGTTCCCTGTGCTGTAAAGTAGACCATGTTGATTATTTTATATACAGGCTCTTAATTTACCCCTCCCCCATCCCCTCCCCACTTCGGTAATCATAGGTTTGTTTTCTATGTGAGTCTGTTTCCATTTTATAAATGAGTTCATTTTTTTTATATTTTAGATTGCACATATAATTGATATCATACAGTATTTGACTTTCTAGTGTATTTCACTTCGTATGATAATCTCTAGGTCAGCCTATGTTGCTGTACATGGCTTGGCTTTATTTTATTTTTTTATGGCTGAGTAATATTCGTGTGTGTGTGTACCACATCTTTGTTTCTTTCATGTCTTAGCTATTGCAGATAGTGCTGCTGTGAACATAGGGATGCATTTATCCTTTTGAACCATGGTTTCCTCCAGATATCTGCCCAGGAGTGGGATTGCTAAATCATACAGTAGCTCTGTTTTTAGCTTCTAAAAGAATCTCCATACTCTCACCAACAGTGTACAACCGTTCCCTTTTCTGTGCATCCTCTCTAGCATTTGTTACTTGTAGACTTTTTAATGATGTGGCCATTCTGACCTTTGTGAGGTGATACCTCATTGTAGTTTTGATTTATTTATTTATGTTTTGAATTGTATGAGGTGTTTGGATATTTTGGAAATTAAGCCCTTGTCAGTTGCATCATTTGCAAATATTTTCTCCCATTCTTCAGGATGTCTTTTTACTTTGTTTATAGTTTCCTTTGCTGTGCACAAGCTTAAGAGTTTGATTAGGTCCCATTTGTTTATTTTTACTTTTATTTCTTTTGCCTTGGGAGACTGACCGAAGAAAACATTGCTATGATTTATGTCAGAGTGTTTTGCCTATGATCTCTTCTAGGAGTTTTATGGTGTCATGTTTTATATTTAAGTCATTAAGCCATTTTGAGTTTGTGTGTGGTACTGAGGTGAGTATTCTAAGTTCACTGATTTATATGTGGCTGTAAATCAAGTGTGTGGGTTTATTTCTGGACTCTGTATTCTGTTCCATTGATCTGTATGTCTGTTTTTGTACCAGTACCATGCTATTTTGATTACTGTAGCTGTGTAGTATTGTCTGAAGTCTGGGAGGGTTATGCCTCCAGCTTTGTTCTTTTTTCTCAGGATTGCTTTGGCAGTTCTGGTCTTTAATGGTTACATACACATTTTAGGATTCCTTGTTCTAGTTCTGTAAAAAATGTCATAGGTAACTTGATAGGGATTGCTTTAAATCTGTAGATTACTTTGAACAGTATAGAGATTTTAATAATTCTTTGCACCCAGGAGCATGGGATGTCTTTCTGTCTCTTTAAATCATTTTCAGATTCCTTCATCAGTGTTTTATAGTTCTCACCATATGAGTCTTTCACGTCTTTGGCCAGGTTTATTCATAAGTATTTTATTACTTTGATGCAATTTTAAAAAGGATTTTTTTGTTTTTTACTCCCTTCCTTTTTTGATATTTCATTATTAGTGTGAAGAACTGCAACAGATTTCTGTATGTTAATTTTGTATCCTGCTATATTATTGATTATTTATCAGTTCTAGAAGTTTTTATATGAAATCTTTAGGGTTTTCTACATATAATATGTCATCTGCATATAATTACCATTTTACTTCTTCCCTTTTATTTTGAATCCCTTTATTTTTCTTGTTTGATTGCTGTGGCTAGGACTTTCAACACTATGTTGATTAGAAGAGCTGAGAGTGGACATCCTAGTCTTGTTTCAGATTTTAGTGGGAAAGCTTTCAGCTTTTCACCATTGAGTTTTATGTTGGCTGAGAGTTTGTCATAAATAGCTTTTGTCATGTTGAGATATGTTTCCTTTATACCTACTCCTCAAAAAGGAATCAAGATGGTATAAAGGGAAGCTTGGGAAACTTTTGCTCTCTGATGAGGTTTGTCTGAGTGAACACAATTATAGGCAGATGCTTGGACCAGATATATGAATAGAGGAAAATAATTAGAGCCTATATTCTAGTTTCATGTTGGTTAAGTGTCGAATTTCATAATGGTTAAAATATGTGGAGTAAAGCTTTGTGAAGAGTCCAAGATAACATTGAATTTTGTGCTTATTTTTGGTAAGTTGTAATGTGGCTTACTTTAAAAGAAATTCATCATGATAGAGAGTTTTATAGGAAGAAAACCTGCCTTTTGGATATTTCCTTTAATAAAAGTTAAAACTCTGAACATTCAGAAGTTATTATCAATCTGTCCCTAGGTCATTGATATAACGTGCTTCCTAAAGTAACAAATTTCAAATGAATTCTTATGTAATTGTTATCATATCTCTCGATTTAATTTTTAGATATTTGAAAACTAGAGTATATTTATTTTTCATTGGATATTACTATAAAACAAAAAATGTCATTTTTACAGATTCAGTTTTATAGTAATTACTTACACAGTATTAGACTTTTTCAAGAGTTATATAAAACTTTATATGTCATTCGCACAGCAGTTCTCTGTGGTTGAGGTAGTATTGACATTTTCCAGAGGTAAAGTTAAGGCCCAGAGAGTCATACAGCTATGATATAAATATTAACATAACTCACAGTATTTTGATTCCAGATGTCTTCATTTCTCTAGCCTTGTATTTATTTTGTTTTTAATGTCATAATATTGCAGCTTGTTGATAGCATGTTTTTTTATGTTTTCAGGATATGGCTTTAGTTGCCCCTGAGGCTCCTTCAGAACAAGCCAGAAGAGTTTTTCAAACTTATGATCCAGAAGGTAAAAGATTTTATTTTTTACTAGCATTGTTTTATATCTTTATATATGTGAAATACATTGATCCTTTCCTGAGTTTTATTTTTAAAGAGTTGTTGGATTACTGAATGAAATCTATCTTGTACTAGTTGAAAATTTTAAATAAGAAACAGTGGAAATGAGAACCAAAAAAAAGGTGATCATCATATTCTCACATGGTAGAAGAGTTTTGTTTTACATGCTACTTAAGTATGGTTACTTGAATCTTGACTTCTGATGGTGTTAAACAGGGAAAAATACTACTTCTGATTTAAACTTTCTTAGCAACTTTCAAATAAGCAATACAGTATGATTCTCTCTAGTTACCATGTTGTACATCACATCCCATGACTCATGTTATAACCAAAAGGTTGTACCTCTGACACCTTTTACTCCTTTCACCTACTTCCCCACCCCTTGCCTCTAGCAACCACCAGTCTGTTCCTGTATCTATGACCTCAGTCTTGTTTAGATTCCACATATAATTGAGATCATATGGTATTTGTCTTTGTCTGATTTATTTCACTTAGCATGATGCCCTCAAATTCCATCCATATTGAGGCAAATGGAAAGATTTCCTTCCTTTTTATTGGCTGAATAATATTCCATTTAGTGTATATACCACATTTTCTTTATCCATTCATCCACTGATGGAAATTTAGTGTGTTTCAGTATCTTGGTTTGTAAACAATGCTGCATTGAACATGAAGATGCATCTCAAGTAGTGTTTTCTCTTCCTTCAAATAAATACCCAGAAGTGGAATTGCTGGATGATGTGGTAGTTTTCTTTTTAACTTCCTGAGAAACCTTCATACTGTACTCCATAGTGGCTGTACCAGTTTACATCCTCACTAACAGTGCACAGGGGTTCCCTTTTCTCCACATCTTCTTGAACACTTGGTATTTCTTACTGTGACTTTGATGTGCATTTCCCTGATGACTAGTGGATGTTGAGTACTGTTTCATGTACTTGTTGTATATAATCAGTATATCTTCATAGGAGAGTGTGCATTCAGATCCTCTGCCTCTGTTTTAATCATAGAGTGTTTGGGGTTTCTGTATTGAGTTCTGTGAGTTTTTCGCATGTATTGTATAGTAACCTCTTATCAGATGTGAGATTTGTAAATATATTCTCCCATTCAGTAGGTTGCCTTTTCATTTTCCTTTGTTACACAGAAGCTTTTTAGTTTGATACAGTCCACTTGTTTATTTTTGCTTTCGTTGTCACATCCAAAAAAAATCAATGCCAAGAGTGTCGTAGAGCTTATCACCTGTGTTTTCTAATAAGTTTTAAGGTTTCTGGTCTTACAGTCAAGTCTTAACTCAGAGTGGATCAAATTACGTGTGTGGTGTAAGACAAGTGGCCCAGTTTTCCCAGTACCACTTGTTGAAGAGACTGGTCTTTATTCATTGTATGTCACAACTCCTGTGTTGTAAGTTAATTGACCATTTATGTGTAGGTTCATGTCTGGACTCTATTTGTTCCATTGATCTGTGTGACTGTTTTAGGTCAGCACCTAAAAACAGGGCAGGGCACCCGGAGGACTAGACCTTCTGGGAGGAGATGCAGGAGCAGCGTTGATGAAGACGGTAGGAGACCATTGTTAAAAAGTGGTGTACTTTTCTACACCACTATCCTCAATCTGTTTTGGAACTCCGTGGGGTTTTTGCTGCTGCTTCATAGCCCAGTGCTATCCTTGGGCTGTTTTCTTCAGTTTTTAGTTGTTTGTTTTGTTGGGTTTTTGTGTGGGAGACATGAGTTGGGGTCTCCAAGCCCTCCATCTTGCTGACATCACTCCCCAGAATATGTCTGTGTAATTGATTGTGCAAGGAAATACAGAAGAAGAAAAACCATCTTTATGATTTGTTTTTGAGCCAGATCTTAGCTTCTCTACCACACTAACAAAAGTTGTTTTGAAAAGTTCATTGATAGATAGACAGATATCACTCTTAGCTATCACTCTGTTGTCCACTCCATTGTTAGCTAGGTGATTTTGATCACCTTTGCATTTATGTACTTTAGTTAGGTGATGGTCACGACTAACTCACTGACTTTTCCAGGATAACCTTAAAACTGAGTCGTGCCTTCTATTCTCTTGTAAATTACCATATAGGAACCTATGTTTTTGGATGAGTCCTTATCAACTGCTGAATGCATTCAGTTATTTTTATAAATTCATTTTCTTCTGTCCTGAAATTTTTTGTTCTTGGAGATGTTAATCTCTGAAAATTTCAGTCACACAAATTCTAGGGATCTTGGTAACCCATATAACTTTAGTTACCTTTCAGTCTATAAGTCTGCTTTCTTATGTATCATATAATAGCCTATTTAAGAGTCCTTATGAATATTAAATGAATAATGTTGTGTAAAGCACCTGCAGTGCTTAACATGTAGTAGGTATTTTATAAATGTGATTCCTTTCTCTCTGCACCTCAAGTTAATTGGTGCTGGTACTGGTGAGTTTACATACAGTTAGTTTCTTCCACTGTGCCTTTTTATTAACTTGGGGAAAAAAAATTTCTTTCCTCTTGGAATTAATAATCTTTTAAACTTCCAGTAACATTTCATTCTAAGTCTTTAGAAGTGAAAGTAATTTACATCTTTATATTTTCCCACCACTGAATGAAATCAGTTTTATAGTATTAATAAGTTAACAACTTCAACTGGAATCAGTGGTTATGTGTAGCACATTGAACTGTGTCGTGGAGGGTGACAAAAATAAGCATCCTCTTAACCTCTTTGAATCCTTTGATGGAAAAGATGGGAAATAAATAATTTATGTTCCTAAATGCTTTTAGTATCTTTTGAGTTGGGATCAAACTTAATAGAGTTTTTGGAAACTGTAGCAAGTTAAAATGAAAATAAGATTGACATAAATAAGATTAAAAGAAATGTGATGGACGTGAACTGAGATTAGCTAGAGAGCCATCAAGAAGACCTGAGGGGGGAGGGTCATGCTGCAAATGGAAGCATAAAGAAGAGAAAGTGGTATCTGTGAACATAAGGTAGGAAATAGCAATTTACATGCAGGCAGTAGCCAGCCAAGTGTTTGACTTGAGTGCAAAGACAAGGCACAAGAAAAATAATCGTGTAGCATTTACTAAAGTGATGCCAAAGGTAAGAAATTAATGGTCAAGGCTTGGATTTATGGGGTTTTTCTTTTCCTTCTCTTTCTTTTATTGGGATATAATTGCTTTACACTGCTGTCTTAGTTTCAGCCTTGTATGCATATATTCCTTCCCTCCCTCCCGCACCAGGGCAGGAATAGAGATGCAGACACGAGAGAATGGACGTTTTATACAGGGGCAGGGGAAGGAGCCAGGGCGGTGGGCAGCGGGGATGAACAGAGTAGCATTGGCGCATATACACTGTCGTGTGTAAAATAGCCAGCGAGTGGGAGGCTGCTGTGGAGCACAGGGCACTCTGCTCGGAGCTCTGAGAGGGTTTATTTTCTAAAGAGCTCTTTTCAGAGAACGAGTCAAGCAGTTTTCTGTCGCGCACCTTCCTCTTAAGGATCTAAGGCATTTGTTTGTTTCTTCCCTCCCATCTCTCACCCCTCTTCTAGATGTTTGCCTTTCTGTACCTCACATCCCAGTGGAGGGTGAGTGTGGAGTGGTATAGACACATACACATGTAAATGCCTGCTCTGTTTCAGGACATTTTAGGTGACATGTTTCTACCCAGATTGATAGTAACCACTGTGTGAGAGGTAGTTTCCTTCTGGAATGGAATACATTATAGGATGGAGTAGGCAAGATGACTTGACAGATGAACTGGGTATCTTCCCAGGGTTTCCAGTCAGGTCTTCATAGTGCTGTGTAATTTTGATTTGAATTGATGGTCCAAGATATCAAGCATACTCTTATCCCAGTGTAACCACCATCACAAACCACTCTCACCTCAGACATAGGAGTTTTCTGTACTCAGCCTTTTTGGATACCTATATATTTCTTTCCTTAGTGAGAAATTGAGACCTGAAATTATAAGTGAATGAGTTTCTTGAGAAAAGAAATGTGCACAGAAAGTATCAGAATATTTCAGGAGATAACTGAACATAATATTTTAGGAGCTAATAAAGGTGTAGAGAGATGCCTTCAGAATAAGGAGTATCACAGCCATAAGGGATCTGGACTTGAAAAGCCTAATGTTATTTAGAAGGCGAGTTTTGTTTTGTTTTGTTTTTAAAGGAAGGAGCCATCAGGAATATAAAGATACTAAAACTAAGGTTTAATATCTACAGTCACAAGTAGTAGATTTGTTTGCTTTTTACAATTTCAATTTTTTCCATCATTAATGAGGTAGCAGACTCCATTTGGTTTTACTAAATTACAAGGAAAATTAGACTATCTTTTTGTCAATACGAAAACACAATTTATGATCAGTGGTGGTGAATGGAGTCCTGAGGAATACATAGGAAAATAAATTTGTTATGTTTTTTAATTAGAGAAAATTATTAATTATATAAAGTAGTTTTCATCTATATAGTTTTATGTGGGACAACTTAGCAGGACTATAATCTGAATAGTTAAGAAGTAAACAAAACTTGTTCAGTCATCTTAGAAAAGCTGTCTCTTGCTATTACTTACCTTCAGTTCAGTTCAGTTGCTCAGTCTTGTCCAACTCTTTGCAACCCCTTGGATTGCAGCACACCAGGCTTCCCTGTCCATCACCAGCTCCTGGAGCTTACCATGGAGAAAATGAACTCCACTTTCCCATTTGAGTATCACTGTTTATTGTTTAACTATATAGAGTCCACTCTAGGAAGTTGGATTAAAGATAGAAATTCTTCATTTTTAGTCACAAACTAAACAGTTAACTTACTAATTTGATCCCCACCCCCACCCCCACCCCCACCATAGTACTCTTTTCTGTATTCTGCACCATGTTTAGTTTGTTTTGTAACTTTCCCATCACATAAGGTGAAGTGGTTCTGCAAGATAAGCCAGAAATCAACTACTCATTTCTTTCCAAACTTATAGGTACAGTTCACAAAGCTGTTTTTGGTTGAACCATGGTACCCGAACAGAGCAGTTTATGTAAGTCTAAAGTTAGGATTAGCTTGAATAATTGAATGTCAGAACTGTGATTGAGCAGCTTCTTATGTCAAGCCCTGTGCTGGTCCTGGGGCTGTCTTCCCTGCCATCCAGGGGCCGGAGAAGCAAAGCAGCAGGGAGACATGGGACAGGAGACCAGGGCAAAAGCAACCACGAAAACGCCCAGACCTTGCCTCAGGGCCAAAGTCACATATTTTCTCCACTAAGAGTTCTACTAAATTGTTTATGTTATTAAAGCATGAATAATAATAATAATAATAATAATAGGTAAAGTACAACATTTAATAATAATTTATTAATTTCTTGAATAAAACCAACAGTGTTTACATTCTCCTCAATTAGATCTCTTCTAGGAAATGGCAGCCCACTCCAGTATTCTTGCCTGGAAAATCCCATGGACAGGGAAGCTTGGTGGGCTACAGTCCATGGGGTCACAGAGTCGGACACAGCTTGGTGACTAAACAATAACTAGCTCTCGGTTTTCTCTCTGTTCCTAAGAAACTTTACTCTTCTTACCTACAGAGTTTTGAATATGTTACAGTCCCAATGCTGGGTCCTGCCTCCTCTTGAGCTCTCCTTCACCCGCTTGAACTCCTGACACAGCTCTTCTCTTCTCCTGCAGCTCTCTGTCAGCTGCGGCCTCTGCTAAGACAGACTTGCCAGGTTCCCCTTGTCTTTCTCAGGTTCTCCCAATAGGAATCACAGTGGGTGCTTCCTTTTCCTTCATGTCCAGCTCTGACTTCTCACTCATGGACCCTCATTGTACCCAGCAGGTTGTTACTCCACTGTCTCGTTCCTTCCCGGCACTGCTCAATGCTGTCCCTCCTCTCACACTAGGAGCTGGGCACTTACTGGTTTTTAAAAAGCAAAACTCTTTTAAATTTGTAAACAAACAGCTTTCCCCCTCCTTTTCAAATGTCTTAAAACACAGCCTAACTGTATGTGAATATTGGCTCTGTAGCTGCTCACCAGTTCACTGTCACACACACAGTGCCCCCTCTCATCCTCCCTATTCTTCTGAGGTAGAACGCCTGCACAAGTCTGTTTTATATTCGTGTGGTTAAATTACTGATGCATTCACATAATCCTTTTTCCTTTGGTGCTTCTCAGTTCTGCTTTGTGTGTGTGTGTGTGCACGCACACACTCAACCATGTCTGATTCTTTGCAACCCACCAGCATTGTAGCCCATGGACTATAGCCCACTGGGCTTCTCTGTCCGTGGAATTTTCCAGGCAAGAATAGCTTGAGAAGTCAACAAATTGACTCTCAGGTTTCCTCTGCTGTTGGTATTGAGGTCATCTTATCATTGTGTCTCTATTTCCATATTCTCTGCAGAACCAACCAACTAAATCCTAGATGGCATGAGTTTCATCTGGTTAGACTTAAGGCTTCTTTTTCTAAACAACTTGTCTTGATATGAATGACTGCTAAAGAATAAAGTAACTTCAAAATCAGTGTTTTAAAAAGGTAATTCCAAATATCCTCTTCTGATCTTGGGTATATTAAAAAGTCTGTGAGGTATTGAAAAAACGCTCTCCAGTCTCTAGTTATACTGTATGTATAAAAAAATAGAGTCACTGGCTTCTAGTCACTACTGTGCTGCGTGTTTACAAGCTGTAAATCTGATAGGCTGCTTAAAAAAGTTTCGGAATGGTTAAGTTTTGAGGTGAATGATGTTTGAGTTAAGGAGGTCGTCATATTGTTTTCCTGGTTGTTGTTTGTATCTTATACAGCCAGTTAGCTTTTTCTGAGGATGGGAGTGGAGTCTCAGTTACACTAAGAAGAGATAAAGCTGCCTGCCATTCATTCAGTGCATCAGAAGAATATTGTAATACACACTGCCTGTGTTGAGTGATACATGTGATGACCCATAAACACAGAACTGTTTCTGTCTGCCAGTGACCTGATAAAGCCTGTTTTAGATTTGGAGAGGCTAACTAAGCCTTTAGCTGTGACCTAACTAAGCAAAATGAGTGATTTTTGTCTACCTTTCGAACTCAAGTTAGGCTTACAAAGCTAGAATATTTTCACAGGTGCCTTCAAACAAGTTCTTTATTCTCTATATTGTAAATTATTGGTAACTTGACAAACTGGAATTATTCTAAACCCCCACTTTATAAAATTATGTTTAGGGAAATTTTTAATTATCCTAAATGATTCTCAGCCTTTTAGTCAAGGCCAGTCGGTCTTCATATGAATAAGCATGTGCTTATGAGGTTTACGAAAAGACTTTAAAAAAATCATAACTTCTCTATTTCCTTTCTGGTAGAGACAGTACACACTATATCCAGAAAGAGCAGCTATGCTTTATTTTGTGGTTTGATGACAGAAGCGGGACTTTTGGACACCTTGTTTTCCAGGACAAGATTTTTATTTTTATTATTATTCTAATCCCTGAAAAGGGTATGGTGGTATTATTATCCTAATCCCTGAAAAAGGGTATCGTGTTGGAAGCTGATCAAAAGCCAAGACAGTCTTCAGGAATGAGTAAATGGGTAGAGGAACTCAAGCATTGTACATTTAAGGGAATCAACAACTTGCTTGTTTAAAAGCACTGTGATTTCAGACAGCCCTACAAGCTTTTTTTGTGTGTCATGCTCTATTGCATCATCTGAGTTTGGGCCGTTTACCATCCTCATTGAGCCCCAGAAAAGGAGTATTTTCTATGGACTAGTCTTCATCAACATTTGATTCTACCCTGCGTCCCAACTTTTTTTTTTTCCCTATTAAATCTTTGGCTTTAAGGCAGGTCTGTTGATTTAAATCAAGAGATATCTTTTCTTGATCTTATATTGTTAGAGATCTAAATAGCAATCAATCATGAACATCCTTTCAAAAAATTACATAACATTGTAAAAAGAGGAATTTATTGGTAAAGGATTATTGGATTTGTTAAAGGGAATTTAAAGGTTTATATTATTTATTGAAAATATACCTAATTAATAAATAGTTGTTATAAACTTAAGTAGAAAAACTTACATCATTTAAATTTGTAAGCCTGTTTAAGAAGTAATTTGACTTTAAGATTTCCTTGGTGTTCTCAGGTAGAAGTCATGTGGTTATTTTTGAAACTAACCTTGAAAATAAATCTTTGCCTTTGTGCTCAAGAACACTAACAGAAAAAAAGAATCTAATAATAATAGACATTGTGCCCAAAATAAACTTAATATGCTATTCCTTAACTCTTTGTGTCCCTCTTACTGACCTTTCACTGGCTTCTGTGATCAGCAATAATAACATTTCTTGAAGTAAACTTTATCTAAATTGTTTCTGTAATATTTTTTCTCAGATAATGGATTCATACCTGACTCACTTCTAGAAGATGTGATGAAAGCATTGGACCTCGTTTCAGATCCTGAATAGTAAGATACAGGCAAAGTGTTATTTAGTGAGGAGGGAGAGAGGGAGGACTCTTACTGCAGCACGTGGCCATCGTCTTCATTAATAATGTACATCATTACATCTATAACTTCTATAAATTTGGGATCTTTATTATCCATGGGAAGATATCTCTCTAGTTAGGTGGACACATCTTTTAATCAAATACATAATATATTGATCAAATATAGGTAATTAAAAATCACCTTTGATCTACATTTCCTTTTTTTTGTCTTCTTCTGAAAGTGTATCTGACAGTGAACAAGCTTTAGCTAACAAACATTTAAGGAAAGGATTCAGCAAAAGCAACCCAAAACATACTGGTATACCCAGTGTTTAGAATTTGATCCTATTCTGTTTTCAGTTAGTTTGGCTATATTTTCTTTGAAACTATGAAATATGTATAAACATTTGCAAACTAATCACATGTGAAATAATGTCTCAATCTCACCACCTAGAGCTGGAATGTTACCCTTTCTTAGTAGACATAATTGGTGATTCCAACTTAAAGAGGAGAAATTCAGAGACAGTTGAACCAGTCCAATAAATGGTATAATAGTAACTACCGTATTTGTTCTCAGCTGATTACCAAGTGGGGAGCTTTTTGTTTACGTTGCTGTACTACGCAAAAGAGACTTGACTCGGATAATTTCGGTCACTAGCAAGTCTTAAGATGGGAAAGAAGAAAAAGGCAGTTATTAAAGTTAGCACAGATGAGTCAAATTGTTTTCTAGAAATAGCTGAAAGATTGGACAGTTACTCACTTGATCCTCTGGTCCAATCACATTTATAATATTTGATGGCCATAAACTAACTGGACCTTATCAAGGATTAACAAATATAGTAAATATGACTGTGTCTTCATTTGTTTCATGTCACAACATGACATATATGTACTACTGTATTCTTAAAGTAAGCTAAAGGAAAGCTTATTAAGAAAATCATAAGAAAGAAATTTATTTATGATATGTGTATATATTGATTGAAAAAATATGTGTGTGTTTAAGTGGACCCTGGCAATTCAAACCCATGTTATGCAAGGATCAGCTCTATAAAAAGATATCTTTATAACCTGAGAGGTAATATGGAGAAAAAAATGTTCTGAGAAGACCATTTTCATTTTTAAAACTCTTTAAACTGCAGTCCACTATTCTCTGCCTTCTTTCTACGCATACTTTCAGCAAACTCAGTGACACCAAATGGTAAGGGTTGTGCCAAGCGCTGCTCCAAACTGATATGGAACAACAATCGTGCCACTTCCTGAAATTCAGTATACTTTATTAGCTCTTTGAGAATTGTCTTACCTTTTTTAACCTTCAGTTTACACTGTCCAAGAATTTTAAGCCTCCACCTCATTTGGTTCTTGAAAGTAAGCTTTTCAGGAGATGTTTTTGATTACCTGATGTACCACTGCCTTTGACACTGTTCCCTTTTCTCTTTAATGTAAAAGAAAAAAATGTTTACGCCTAAATGCCTCATTTGGTAGCTAAATTCAGGCATACCTATGAAGCAAAGGGAATGTGCCTTTGGGAGGCTATAGGCCTGCTTTTATGAGCCTGGGTTTTTAAGTTGCTTTACCTAATAAGGAACAATATTCCAAAGTCATCATCATAATTTAAATTCTAAATAGTAACAGATTACTCTGGTTTAAAAATAACCAAGTTCTGGCAAATTGGATGTCATTCCTGTGTATTTGTCATTAAGGGTCTAAAAAAGAACAGCTCTCGGGATTTTGGGCAGTCAGATGTGTTGCAGTACCAGTAATTCAATCATGAAAGAAGAAAAATAAGCTTTTTTTTCCTGTGGTATCCACTGTTTTTCTTTTTTCTCTCTCCATAGTATAAATCTCATGAAGAATAAATTAGATCCAGAAGGATTAGGAATCATATTATTGGGTCCATTTCTTCAAGAATTTTTTCCTGATCAGGTAACATAATTGAAGAAATACATTTATTGTTTTGTTCTTTTGGGATGATCATATTATGATTGTTTCAGCATTTTTTTTCCTACTAACCATGTTCTAACATGCAGATATTAGACTAAGAAAACATTATTGTTATGTAAATACTTGCCCAGACCAAGAGGCTAGAAGGGCATGTGTGTTCCAATATAGTAATGTAAAATTTTGATTAAAGGATAGAGGTGGTGAAAGAGAGTATATACACCAATACAGACACATTGATACTGTTTTCTAAAGGAAGATTCAAATTCAGAAATATGTGGAATAAAAAGAGAAAGATTCTCTTAATCTACCCTCCTGCCCTGGGTAACTTCTCTCAGGTAACTATTTTCAATAGATTGGTGTGTATCTTTAGAACTTTCTCAATGCTAGCAAAGAAGGTAAAGTAGCCTGTAGGTAGTGCGAACTCCTAGCAGTGCTCCTGTGTCCCAGGAGAATTTTAGTTGCATTAAAGGAGACCCTTTGAATGGAACTGTGCTGTTTCATGTTGGGACATGTCTTCCACTGGCTGCAACCTGAGCTCAGTTAAAGCATCTATACCAGTCTCAGTACGCTCCAGTCATGTCTATGTCACTGGCTAATTCTACAGCCTACCCTTACTTTTCCTGCTGTCAGAGTGCAGGGTTTTACCACTCCCTCAAATTATTTAGCAAGGTGTGTTGTGATCATTTCATCAGATGCCAGCATGGTTTACAGTAAGAATAGCAGGAGCAGCTACCATTTAATAAGCATGTACTATGCATGAGATACTGTGTACCTTCTAAATTGTGTATTATTTTTCCCCCATTTTGCCAGTGAGGAAATTGAAGATTAGAGAACTTAAAAAATGGCTTAAGGTTATATTGCTAGCACAAGGCCAATTCAGGATCCAGTGTAGGTTGTCTAAGCCCAGAGACAAAGCATTTTAGCGCTGCTACACTACCTTTTGTTGCTATTTATTTTATACCACTTGTTACTAGAACTGCAGTAAAATATTTATTTTGTAAGTTAAAATACGTTAACTCTGAAAATCCAGTCAAATCATTTATCTAAGTAATTGCACTGACTCATGTATAAATTAAGATGGTTGATATGTCTTATAAAGCTTTTGTGTGGGATACAAAAAACAGCTTAGATTCTTGACATGAAAAGTTAAAAACAGTTAAAAATATCAACTCTTTTAAAATTTGATGCACAAATTATTGAGACAACTGGAAGTCCAATTAGTATATTTAAGGAAAACTTAAAGTAAGATTTGAACTAGATCTTGTAAAACAAGAGAAGTTGAAAAAAAAAAATCACAAATGTGCACAGAGCTGACAACATAAGGTCTTCTCATGGGAAGATGAGGAATACGCTTGTCTTAGAGAACTTAGAAAGGTGAGTGGTTGGTGACAAGACTGGAAAAGCAGCTTTTAGGTCCTACATTTTTAGGATTCTTGGTTACAAATCCCAGCATGAACTAAACATGAGCAGGAAGGAGTAGCTCAGAATAGCTGAGGGATAGAAGAGGTAGCGCCTGGAAGGTGGGTTCCAGGAGCTTTTGGGACTGGGCCAAGTCTCATCCCCAGGTGTGACTATTTCAGCTTTTAGGTTTTATAGTACCTAAGTACATAAATCTAAGTTTCTTGCTTTGTCAACTGATTCCTTAATCAAAGTCTGTGGAATTAAGAAGCTTCCATTTTACTTTCAATTGCTAGTTAGAAATTGCCTGATATACAGATTTACAGTTTTAATTGTTGGTTATTTATAATATAGGGTTCCAGTGGTCCAGAGTCTTTTACTGTCTACCACTACAATGGATTGAAACAGTCAAATTACAATGAAAAGGTATGATAACTCAGTGTAATTTGTCTTCACCTGAGTTGATAAAATACAGGAGTATGTATTAACAGTGTCTGAGTCCCATCAAACTGCTCCCTAAGCAAGGAGGTTGTTCTAGGAGTCTCTTTACTGTCACTGCTTATCTGAGACCTGGACTCAGTGAGAGCATCATTGGAATTTTGGAGCAGTGGTTTCACTGTGAGAAGGTAGCTCCATCTACATACATGTTGTTACCCTTGATGTGCAAATATTACAGAATCAAGTTTAGTACATGGAAGTTACTGATCCACTTAAATGAAGAAAGAAGGGATAAGAGGGAGATTTTTTATTTAAAAAAAAAAAAACACTATTTGAAAGGATTTAAATTAATAGCCATAACAGTGAGCATTTATTGAGGATGTACCTAGAATTGTCACCAACACTTTGTGTTCATCAGCACTTTGTTTTCTCCAAAGTTTCACCCCACCCCATGAACTAAGTATTCTTGCATATTCTTATTTTACAGTGGAGGAAACTGAGGCACAGAGAAGGAAGCAGCTTATCAAGGTCAGGCAGCCAGGAAACAGCAGAGCTGGAGCGAAGGCTAGGTGTCTCCCTCTGAGCCTGCGGCTCACCCGCTGTGCTCTGATCTTTCCTTCTTGAATCTCGGACTAGGGCCCACGGTGCTTCACTTCCAGATGTACTCAACTACAGCAGAAGTTTGGTCTTGTCAGTTCACCCTCTTTGATTAATGAGCTTGGCGACACATAAGATATATCTACTCTGTTTGCATTTATTCCAGTAAGAGTCACAATAGATATAGCTAATATTAGAAGGAGTAAGGCCTAACATGCCTTTTTAATCTCAAGTACCCATGCTGACTTCATGTGTATCTGATATACTGAGGATGGCTACAGAAAACAGATCATCATGTGCATTAGAGCAAATCTAAACCTGCCCCTAAAATTTACTTTTGTTTTCATAACAAAATATAAATTAGAACTTTTACTAAATTAGGGCCAAAGATCTTTTCATAGGAGGATAATTGATTGATACCTATTGTGAAAAATAGAAATTTGTCAATAAGAGAACTTGTATGTTTGGTCCTAATGTGTAAATGAGTGCTTCATCTAGATGTAAATTCTGTGTAGCCTTGTCCTAGAAGGTACTTTGTAGTCACAAAGTAGTTACTTGCCTACACAATCCCTGCAAGGTGCATCAGTCAAATATTATCTGTATATTACAAATGAAGCCTCTAGGACAGGGAGATTAAGCAACTCACCCAGGGTCACATGGCCAGTCACTGACAGAGCAGGGACTGGAGCTGAGTTCCTGAAACCCAGTCCTGTCCTTGGTCTGCTTGCCCACACTATATGTGTATAGTAAGGTTTTTTGTTTTTTTTTTGCATGCAATGTGTTTATTATTGTTCTTTTAAATAAATTGGTTAATTTTTTCAGTTTTCACTTCTAGTACAGTAAATATCAATAGTGTATAGTAAGTTTTTAAGTTATGCTCATGACAGGTGTCTGACATGACTAACAAACAGATCAGAAATCAAAGATGAACTATTAACCTGACAACAGTACATAAGAATTAGAATGCAGAGCATATGTTATACCATTAAGCTGCAAAGGTATAACATAAAGTTACTTCTGAGCTATTAAAAATACCTGAGGAAACTGGCAGCAGGAGAAGGCTGGCCAAGTGGAAGGGAGCCTGACCCACTGGGGCAGCCCAGGCTGGTGAGGCGACAGAGGTGATCATGGTACTCAGCCCCGAGCACTTCTGCTGTAACACTGTGAGCAAGGAAAGTTTCTCATGGAAGAGGTCTTGTCTTTCTTGTTCATTATGATAACCTGTTACATGCTTGGTGGACAATTTTTCAGAAAAAGAAGTTTTGCTTTAGAGAGTTAGAAGCATGATTACTTAGGGTTTTAATAGTAAACTTACTCCATCAAAACTAGAACCTAATTAAGAAACCAAAGTACCTGGCCTAGTGATAGAAAATACTCCAGTCCTATAGTTAATGTTTTTTAAGGAGACTCCAACTTAAGGCTAAGTTTATAGCTTTTATCTTGGAAGAACATAATTACAATCATGTGTATCAGCCACTGAGTGTGAAAATCACTGTACATACTTTTCAACACAGCAGGCTTATTCTGTTGTCTTTCAAATTATGAGATTAGAATCTCCTGATATCAAGAGACATTAATGACAATGCTTTCATGTATACAGTGAGTGCTTATAAATGCTCATTGTCAGTATGTTACTTCATAAATAATGTCTAAAAGTTTTTTTAATTAATCAGAATGAAACCTTTTTCTGACGTCCACCTGCCACTGCATATCAATTACATAGTTTTTTATCCATCAGCCTTTTACTGCTATTTGATTTCTGTTTTTGACTGAAATCTTTTTTTCTCCTGATTTTTTGGGCTGAACCAAAATGAAGAGCACTTCAGAAGTATTTAATACAATAACAGAAAATTTCATTGACAAATATTCAACTTGCTTCCAGTTCTAGAAATTCAGCACTTTATTTTCTGCTTTCATTATAAGTCCTTCTCAGAATATATAGCTGTATTTTTATTACAGCTTTTTATCTGAAATAAGGCAGCATTTGAATGAGGTGGCAACATTTGAAGAATGAATTTTCTTTTATCAGAAATAGCGTCGTCTTTATCAGAAACAGTACGTTCTTTGTGATTTTTTTAAAATCCCGAATTGTAAACAGAGTACCCTGTTTGCTAGTCTATGAAAAAGTCCCTCATAAGACTTTGCTAAGAGTATTGATTGATCTCGGTGGCTTGCTTCTGTTCAATAGGTAATGTATGTGGAAGGAACCGCAGTTGTTATGGGGTTTGAAGACCCCCTGCTACAGACAGATGACACGCCCATTAAACGCTGTCTCCAAACCAAATGGCCATACATTGAGTTACTCTGGACCACAGATCGCTCTCCTTCACTAAACTGATTTGCCTAAGTATTTATAAAGAAGATTGTAATAGCAGATGTTGAAAAAAGGATGCAAGACTGGCGAGTTGCCCAATGAAGCTATACACTGGTATCACTGATAAACTGTAAATAACAATTAAAGACACATTTTCAGTGTTTAAGATATGTTTAAATTATTTGTTTTAAAGCTTTATGTTAAAGGTTACCCTATTTAAATTCTTTATGTGAAATTTACTAGCAAAACTAAGCTTTAATCAAAGTTCATCACTGTTGCAGTCAGATAATTTGGTCATTTGCCAAATTACAGACATCATATTACAATAGCATTTTTATATTGAGTATCAAGGTTACTATTTATAGACTTCTACTTTGGGATTTTATTTCATTCAGGCACCATTTATTGTTTAAGTGATTCTGGCATGCAATACATCAGCCTCCACATTGAAATGCAAAAGAGTTTTTACCTTCATTATTTCTAAAATCTGGTTTCCATTAGAAATATTGATAAATAACAAATTATCAACCTGGATCTTTGACAATTGGCTTAGCTCTGGCATGTGTATAAAAAGTAGAAACTATAAGGGAACATTACCATTTATTCACAGATATATAGAGGAAGAGAATCTGTTTGATAGTCTTAACACTGTTAACTTTCACTGTATTGCCAATTACACATTTCCAAATTTGTCCCAACAGCCCTGTAAGCCAGCTTTCTTGTATATTTATAAATGTGATAAATGCATGAGAACATCTGTTATTACATTAGTATATTGCATTATTTATTATGATCCTAGTCGATGGCTTAAATAAACATTTTTTTCTTTAACCGTACCCTTGATTTGTTTACATTCGTAGCTCAGAATAACACACTCTTAAATGAGCCTGCCCAGTAGCCTTGAGAGCACAGAACAATGCCTGCTGAACTCACACAGCACCTCAACAGGGAGACCAAGCCTTGCACCTCCCTAGGAACTCTGTAGCTCAGATGGTCGGGAGCACCAGAACCTGGAGGCCAGAGTTACAGAGCCCCTTCCTGTGTACTTTTGAGAGCAATCGCTGTATTTCAGTAGTTTTGTTGCCCAGCCATTTGAAATGTGAATACCCAGAAAATACTTCACTTAGGCAGACAAGATAGCCTCTTGAATTTCAGAACTGAACTTTACCTTCAACAACAGGTATTTCCTGTATAAATCTCTTGGGGGTTTTATTTATATTTTTGTATACATTGACAATGATAAAAAGTAGATTTTTAGCATAGGAAAACCCCAAATTTTACATATAACAGCTTTCGGTAGCACTGTATTATGAGTGTGATACTAGCTACTACAGTTACAGCTGTAAAATGTCAGTATTTTGGGTTAATCTTGCTTATTTCCAAATGGATATAAAATATTAATAGAATTAGTTCTCTAACTCTGCTCCTAAATTCCACAAGGATTATGAAAAACCATAGATTCTATTCATAAACATTGAGCCTACAATATAATCTGTTATTCTTACAGTTGTTTCATAACAAACCATTCTAAAACTTCATGACATAATCATTTTATAAAGCCTATGGCTCAGGGGTTTGAACAAAACACGATGGGAGTGGCTTGTCTGCCTCTCAGTCTGGAGGCCCAGCTAGGCGAGTGTAGGCGCCTTAACTCCCATGACTGGGACCTTAGCTTGATCTGACAACTGTCAAACATGACATCAGACAACTGCAGATAACATTTTCTCTCCACGTCCATGTGGGATACTTAACCCTAGACCATACACCATAAAACAAACCTAGAACAATCCCCAAAAGTCTGGAGATTAAGCAGCACACTTCTGAATAACCCAAGGGTCAAAGTGGAATTGCAGTGGGAATTAGAACATATTTTTTGCTGAATGATATTGAAAATAACAGATAGCAAAAATTGTGGGATAGAAACCAAGCAGTGCTTAAATGCAAATGTGTAACTTTATAGAAAGTTGGGAAATTAAAAAGGTATGCTTTCATCTCAGAAACAAACTGAAAGTAAATAACAATGCAAAAAGAATCATCCACATGCAAGGGAATGAATTCAGACTTCTACTTCACGCTCTGTATAAAAATTTGAAAGATCAGAGATCTAATTGTAGGCTAAAACTATAAAAGAAGACATTTTCCCCATCACAATAGGCTAGGCAGTGTTTCTTAGAATACCAAAAACAACAGTAGCAGCAAAGATATATTGAACTTCATCAAAATTAAAAGCATTGTGTATAAAAGGACACCATCAAAAAGATGAGATGACAACCCACAGAATGAGAGAAAATATTTAAGGCTCATTATCTCATGAGGAATTTGTATCCAGAATATATAGAAATCTTAACACACAAAAATGTTAATGGCCAAATGATGGGAAGAGATACTACCAAAGATGATAAAAAATGTCCAGTAAACACATGAAAACATGCTTAACAAAACAGATATCACCTTACCTATCCTAGGACGTTTAAATAAGAAAGCTAGACAATAACAGCTGTTGGCAAAGATGTGAAGAAAATGGAATTCTGCAGTTGTTGGTGGGGATATAAAATGGTGAAGTCACTTTAGAGAAAAAGTAGTGCAGTTCTTCAGGAAGTTAAATCAAGGGTTAGCATATGACCCAGCATTTCCACTCCTAGGTATACACCCAAGAGAAACAATATATATACCACAAAACTTTTCTTTAAATATTTATAGTGGTGTTATTCATACTAGCCATAAATGGAAACAATCTAAATGTTTACTGATGGGTGGATAAATAAGTGGATATACATATAATGAAAAGCCATTTGAAAATTAAGAATTATTGAAACGTGCTACAACATGGATGAACTTTGAACACCTGCTAAGAGAAAGAAGCCTATTGTAAAAGACCACATATTATGATTCCATTTATGTGAAATGGCCACTGTAGGCAAACCATAGAGGCAGAAAAGGGGTTAGCAATTGCCTGAGCCTAGGATGGGGATTGAGTGGGACAACAGAATTGGGAAATAACTGCTAGTGTATAGGGGTTTCTTTGGGTGTAGTAAAAATGTTTTATAAAGTGATGGTTGCATAACTGAATGTACTAAAAGTCACACAATTGTAAGAAAAAAGATAAAAGGAGAGATCCATGAGCCAACAGTTCTGTTCTATGAAAAAAGGCAGCAACAACAAAAGACCTCTTGGGAGGAGGGGCGAGCAGGGAAAGAACTAATAAAAAGGATAAAAACAAAATGAGAAGTAAAACAAATTATTAACACCAAAAAAGGAAAGGGGAACATTGCTTAAAATTCTCTAGATATTAAAAAGACAGGAGTTAGAGTACATTTGAACTTAAGTTATTATTATCTTAAAAAGAGACACAAATTTAAACCTCATGGAAACAATAAGCAAAAACCTAAAATAGATACACAAAAGATAAAGGAATCTAGACATATCACTATAGAAGATCATCAAACCACAAATGAAAAGATCAAGAGAAGGATGAGGAATTACAAAACAGCCAGGAAACAATTAACAAAATGGCAGTAAGTACATACCTATCAATAATTACCTAAAATGTATATGGACTAAATTCTCTAAAATATACAGCATGGCTGAATAGATTTAAAAACAAGACCCATCGATATGCTGCCTGCAAACAGACTCACGGGTTGTAAGGACACGCACTGAAAATGAAGGGATATAAAATGATATTCTGCACAAATGGAAGACAAAAACCTGAGGTAACTAAATTTTATCAAGCAAAACTGACTTCCAGACAAAAACTGTAATAAAAGATAATTATAAAATGATAAGTCAGTCCAATGAAAGGATATAACATTTGTGAATTATACTCAACATAGGAGCACCTAAACATATAAAGCAAATATTGACAGCCCTAAAGGGAGAAGTAGACATCATTATAATAATATTAGAGAACTTTAATGATCCACTTTGATAAACAGAACATCCAGACAAAACCAGAAAAGAAACATTGGACTGAAACTACATGTCAGATCAGATGGATTTAACATGTACAGAACATTCCATCCAAAAGCAACAGGATACACATTCTTCTCAATCTAACATGAAACATTTTCTAGGATATATGATGTTAGAGCACAAAACAAATCAACAAAGATGGAAATCATATCAAGCGTTTTTTCCTTCTGACTACAATGGTGTGAAACTAGAAATCAATTATAAGAAGAAAACTGGGAAATTCACAAATAGGTGGCTATTGAACAGCATGCTACTGAACAGTCAGTGGGTCAAAGAAGAAAACAAAAGAGCAGTCAAAAACTAAGACAAGTGAAAATGGAAATAAAACATGCAAAATCTTCCAGGACACCAGAAGCAGTTCTAAGAGGGAAGCTCATCATGATAAATGCCTATGTAAAGAAACAAGAAAGATCTCAAAAAAATTACCTAACTTTATTCCTTAAAGATACAAAAAAGAAATGAATCTCAAGTTCATACAAGGAAGGAAATAACAAAGATTAGAAATGAAATAGAGTAGGATGGGTTAGGGAGTAAGAGGGAGGGGACATATGTATACTTATGGCTGATTCATGTTGTATGCCAGAAACTAACAGCATTGTAAAGCAACTATTCTCAATTAAAACTTTTTAAAAAGAAACAGCCTTAAAAGACAAAAGGTTATTGAAACATAAGTCTAGTTTTTTTTAAAAGTACACAATATTGGCAACATTTGGCTAAGAGTACTCAATATCAGAAATGAAGGAGGAAACACAACTGCACTGAGAAATACAAAGACTCATAAGAGGCTACTATGAACTATCTTAGGCCAACAAATTGCACAACTTTGAAGACATGGAAATTTCTAGAAATATACAACCCATCAAGACTGAATCATGAAGAAAGAAAATCTGAATAAATTCATTACTAGCAGGGAGATGGAATCAGTATATCTAAAATTAATTCAATGCTATGTGCCAGTTATATCTCAGAATTTTAAGGATAGGAAGGTATAAATTATAGGCTAAGCAAAAGGTACACATGTCCTTTGAAAAGTGAAAATGATAGCACTCAAT